GGGGGGAGTGGGGCGGGGGGGTCGTTTGAGGGCGAGGAGGCCTTAAGGCAAGGAGGGCCTCCGGCCACTCACCAGCCTTCTGCATCAAAATGCAGGCATCTCTCATTATCTTCTCTCGCCTCCCCTGTTGGCCTACGACTCTCATCAGCCCTGGGCGTGGCCACTGGAAAGGAAAAATGGGACCTGTAGTCCAGAAACCTCCAGTGGGCTGCAAATGACACACTCTTTGCTTTGGGCCATCCTTGGGATCCGGCCGTTGCTTTCCCATTCCCCGGGAGGGGGGGTTGTTGCACCCCCCCCGGCTGACCCACAGCTGGAGGGGGTGTGACTCCTGGGATGGCCCTTCAGCCCATCTGGGGAAGAGCCACATCTCGTGGCCTGGAGTTCCCCAGCAGCCTCTGGTGGTGCTGCGTTCCACAGGCCTGGCTTTCCTGTCCATCCTGGGGGGCCCGGCCTTGCTCCCCCTCCCAGTCTCCAGCTGTCACAGACCCTTGGGGTGCTTCAGGGTGGGGTGGGTGGGGGGGTGTAGCACCTCAGCCCCAATGCCTCCCTCTCGCCACCCGCCGTCGGTGGTTCAGGGCCGGCCGAACGGCTGACGTTGCCCCTTTGCTGCTCCTGCTGGCCTTTCGGGCAAACGTTCGTTCTTTTAAAACAAAGAGAAAAGGAAAGAAGGAAGCACCAAACGGACAAATGAGCTTTGATTCTCCAAAATGTCACAGTCCAATTAACAGCCCAAATCTAGTCAGGTTTTCCGTCCAAATTCATTCCCCGACCTCTCACTCCATTAGGGCGGCCGAATGAAGAGCGTCTGAGATGTAATTGGGACTTGAAATCTGATTACAGCGGGAACCCAGATCTTTCCTGACTAAATGAGCCGGCCCCCCCCTCCACGGCTCTGGGGGGGGAGGAGGAAGACCGTCCGAGGCCTCGGGCAGGATGGAGAGAAGAGGGTCTCGGAGGGAAGCCTGTCTTCCTGGGCTCCCCCCACCCCAGGCCCGACACAGGGGTCGTTCCTGCCCAGGGGTCTGGCCCTCCCCTTCCCTGCCAGGGAATCCGGGTTCCAGCCAGGTCACCCTTGACTCTGCTGCCTCGGTGGCCAACTTTGCCGCTTCCCGATGGCTCTCCTGCTGCTGGGACGCTGGCCAAACCCGCACAGGACAGGGAGCCCGGCGGCTTCTGGCAAGAGGTTTAGTGTGGGCATGCCATGGGAGTCGGGAGCCCGCTGTGCATTTTGGAACAGGAGGGGGTGATGGCCGACGGACCGCGCCAAGGGTCTGTGTGTGGCCCTCGCCTGAGTAGGGACGGAGGCACCCCGGAGGCTCCCCTCGAGGTTCCTCCAGAGACCCATAGGACCCACTCTGACCGGCAGCCAAGGCTCCCTGAGACCTCTTTCCTGCCCCTCCCTGGGGAGGGAGGCCCTTGGGCAGCCCAGGGTTTCTGCGGCAGGCAGAGATCCGCCAGGCTCCTTCCTGGAGGCAGGGTGATACGTGGAAAAGGAGGAGGGGGAGGAGGTCTCTGCGGTGGAAGGTGGGGCAGCTTCACTGAGGAGGTTGGGGGGGGTGTCCTCCGTTGAGCGCTCCTTGTTCAGAGGCGGCCGATCCATGAGTGGCCTCGGAAGAAAACGGCCGGGCAGGCAGAGCGGCGAGAGGCTCCGCGCCAGATTGTTTGGTGTATTTATGCCAGTGTTTGCCGCTTTCCTTGCTCTGAGTTTGTATTTATTTATCCTATTGTCGTTATTGATATTGGGCTGTTTGTTTTTTGACTCAAAATCATGTAATCGTCACAGAACAAGCGGAGCGCTTTTTAATGCCGTGTGAGCGGCTGCCGAGCCTCGCAATGAGCTGGGCAGGGAGGAGGAGGAGGGCTTAAAGGGGAGACGGGCCACCCTCGAGGGACCTCGCTGAGCTTCCAGGGAGGGGTCCTTGGGAAGTTGTGGAGGGGCC